CCTTGGATCGGATGCGCCGTGAATGGGATTCGGAAATGCGAGCCCACGAGAAGGTGCGGCAAGGGTGGAGCGCCGAGCTCGCCGCCCACGAGGCGATTCGTCTGGGCTGGGAGCGGGAGCGCACCGAGATCATCGCGATGCGGGAGCAGGTGTTGCGTGACCAAGAACAGTGGATGAAGGAGCGTGACGAAGAACGGCATGAGGAGGAAAGGAAGCGGCAGGCGGAGGAGGAGCGTATTCGTCTGGGCTGGGAGCGGGAGCGCACCGAGATCATCGCGATGCGGGAGCAGGTGTTGCGTGACCAAGAACAGTGGATGAAGGAGCGTGACGAAGAACGGCATGAGGAGGAAAGGAAGCGGCAGGCGGAGGAGGAGCGTATTCGTCTGGGCTGGGAGCGGGAGCGCACCGAGATCATCGCGATGCGGGAGCAGGTGTTGCGTGACCAAGAACAGTGGATGAAGGAGCGTGACGAAGAACGGCATGAGGAGGAAAGGAAGCGGCAGGCGGAGGAGGAGCGTATTCGCGCTGGGTTCGCTTGGGACGATCTCAAAGGTGACCAGCGCTGTCTGCAGCATGGCATGCGGCGTTATACGGCGCGCATTGCCAACGTCCCTCGTGAATACGATCCTGTCACCGCGTGCACGGAGACGGCGGTCGAAATTCACGGTATGAGGATACCCAACCCCAATCAATGCGAGGACAGAGTGCGATATTTGATTTTTATTTGATTGCGAGGATGGTGCTCACGGGCTTGCAATTCCAGGGATGCGGCGGCGTCATTGGACACTGGCTCATCAGTCATTCGGAGCCAACCTGTGCAACCCACTTTGATAATTTCAAGGACAAGGAAAGTTTCATGTCCAGAGACCGCTAACCAGTAACTGAACCTTATATCTTCAGGGATGCACCTCCCAGGGATCCGGTAGAAGAGTACGTGCCATGTGAATTTCTGTTACCATCTCCTCTGAATATGCGTACTGTACAGCGCATCGAATCACACCTCGAGAACCTGCAGCCTGGCGACGACTGGCGCAACATGTGCTCCACCACACCCGCCCACTTCTGGGGCCTCCATTTCGACAGCCCTGGCGTGTGTGAGGATTGGGTGTGTCCATTTTGAGCCCTTGGGCCAATTTTCCTGCTAATAACTACTTGCGCAGGGCAAGTATGGCATTTGGGGTATTTGGGAGATTGAAGATAGTCAGTGTTGAGGCCTGAGCATATCGTTTTCGTTTTTGTTTTCCGCCTGTGTTGATGATCGGTGTATGTATAGTAAGTGTACTCGAGTGAAAGCAGAATATTGTCTACCATCCAGAGACACCGAAAACGCTGCGCGGTGGAAAGGAGTGGTTCTCAGGCCATTTATGCAACATCGCAGCGCTCCGCAGTCCTGTGCTGATTTTGGAGAAAATGTACCCGACGGACGACACCTGTGAGTCGAAAGAGGTCTTGCCAATACATATTCAGATGTTTGGAACTGACCAACATTACCGCCATGCATCGGTGCTACTAGTTCGAAAGACAACAACCCAGAGTCCTCGACAATTACGACAGGCTGATCTTCTTCGTCAAAATCCTCATCCTCTGCGTCCACAACTCTTGACGCTCTCCCGCGCCATCTCTCAACTTTTCGACGTCGTCAAGTATTTTGATGCACCTGGGCTTGTTCAGAATTTGTTGTTATAAGTAGTACCAAGGGCGTCGATGGTTGAGGAAGGAGCAAGTACTCGAATAATTGCCATGTATTCGAGGGATCTTTTCGATTCTATAAATGTGGATTGAACCATGTCCAGCAGTGGGCCACACTGACGATGGGGAGCCTATATACCGCATGCGTGCATGCCCCATTTCGAGGTCGATAGCACAAAAAAGCACGAGAGAGATCTGCGCGGCGGCCCGCAGGGGTGAATTAGTGGTATCCAACAAAAGCAAAGCGAAGGTAGGGAAAAGGTAGAAGTGGGGAGGAGGTAATGATACACGAACGGGGGATGCCCCTGGGTGCGAGTCGTTCAGAATTCACACGCCACCCGCCCATCCCGACCCAACATGTCGTTCGTGAGGTCTGTGTAAGGAAGTCGAGGATCAAGGTGATTCAGGCAAATAGTCAGGAAACACGCAACGTGTCGCACACTGTTTCATTCCATCACGGGAACGGCGGAATGTGCATCATTGGACAAGTTTCGGCGATCTCGGGGATGTTGAATAATGGTTGTTGTTGTTGTCAGTTCTTCTTGGAGTTGATTCCGGTTTTTTTTCCTTCCAAGATATGACCTGCAATTCCGTGAAAAAAAATTACGCTCAACGTTACCACTCGGTGGAATGACGCTCACCGGCCTTATCACCTGCACAGACTTATCCGGTTACACAATACTGTACTTCTGATCTTTGAACGTCAAGCTGACAGTGGGCTTACTCCTATACCCGCCTCCCCAGGCCCTCGCTCCGCGAAAAAAACTTGGCTCCCCGAACCGCCCCCGACCCAAAAATACTTGGCCCTCCCCCCCGCCATTCGCTGCGCTCAGATACAGTGTCGCTTCGCGAGAGACAGCCTGACCCTCGCTCCGCGAAAAACAGTCTGCTCGCCCGACCTGATCCTCGCTCCGCTCGGGGTCGGGCTCACCCAATTGGCCCTCCCCCCCGCCATTCGCTGCGCTCAGATACAGTGTCGCTTCGCGAGAGACAGCCCGACCCCCGACCCCCGACCCTCGCTCCGCGAAAAACAGTCTGCTCGCCCGACCTGATCCTCGCTCCGCTCGGGGTCGGGCTCACCCAAAAGGTTGAACGAAAGTCGCGTTTGATCGTTTGAGAAATTGAACTTATTGCAAACAAAGACAAATAAACAAACTCGTTCTATTTTGTCTTCGTGTTACCTTACCGTTAGCCCGCTGTCAACTACGCCGCGAAGGGTTTGGGAGCCAGGCTGATAAATCTAACTTACAAACAAGCCCACTGTCAGCTTGACGTTCAAAGATCAGAAGTACAGTATTGTGTAACCGGATAAGTCTGTGCAGGTGATAAGGCCGGTGAGCGTCATTCCACCGAGTGGTAACGTTGAGCGTAATTAAAAAATAACATACCTCGCTCCGCTCGGCATGTTATTTTTTTTGGGTGAGCCCGACCCCGAGCGGAGCGAGGATCAGGTCGGGCGAGCAGACTGTTTTTCGCGGAGCGAGGGTCGGGGGTCGGGGGTCGGGCTGTCTCTCGCGAAGCGACACTGTATCTGAGCGCAGCGAATGGCGGGGGGGAGGGCCAAGTATTTTTGGGTCGGGGGCGGTTCGGGGAGCCAAGTTTTTTTCGCGGAGCGAGGGCCTGGGGAGGCGGGTATAGGAGTCGGCCACAGAGATGTTTCCGCAACATCAGTCCGCCATCACCAATCACGCCGTGCTGCTGTCCGCCCCTCGCCGCCCCTCGCCGCCCCTCTCTCGATCATCCCGCTGCCCACTGATCCCGCTGCCCGTCAACTTCCCGCCCGCTGCCCCGCCCGTCGTGCACAACATGCCCGCCCCAAATAATAATAATAAAAAACCACCAAAATTCAAATCTCCCATGGAACCACACCGCCGCGCTGCCCCGGCATGCCCAGGAAGGCGTAACGGCGCGGCGGCGGCGCGAAGCGGGGGCTATGACGGGCGAGTTTCTGATGCTGGGCAACATTTTTCACCCTTGCAAAGCCAGGGTGAAATGGCGGGTCCTCTTAAGTGTTTCCCGCCAGCGAGCCCTTACCAACGCCGCCGTCAGGCGGGGATAGGAGCGTTGATGTGAGCGACGTGATTTTTTGACAACGACCGGGACCGTCTCCTAAAAGTCGACTGCGCCATGGCCCGCGTCGTTTCAACGCCATCCGCTGGACACACGCGCGCCCATAGCCCGGCTACTGCCGATGCTCTTCCGCTCACCCATCACCGGTGACCGCGGTTACCGTACCGGCCACACCGCCACTCCACGTTGCTTCCCCCGCTCTGAAGTCCAATGCTCGCGTCTCTTCTGCCAACCCCATGCTCGGCAATTTCCCGCTTCTATTCTCCATATTTGCACCCATCCACGACCGCCAGCGTCTGTCCATCGCAGCAACCTATTAGAGCCACGCCAGTCACCCAGTTGACACGTTGCTCTCCAGTCCAATCCAGCATGTTCTTTCGACTCGGGGCTCTTCTGCGCTCGAGCCCACTTCCATTCACTCCGGTGTTCAGTCCATATTCGCTCACAGTGTCTTTACATCGCAGCAACCTATTAGCCGTACGACAACTATTCAGTACGCGTCTTTACATCCCGCGACATCCGCGCCAGTCACCCAAACAAGGCACATCGACCACTATTGCTCTCCCAGTCCAAGTGAGCCTGCCTCTTTCATCTCGGCTCTCTTCTCCGCCAACATCACGCTCCGCAATTCATCAGCACCACGCTACCGGCGTTGACCACTGTCCCGCCAATCCACGACCGTCATTCACGCACCGTCTTTGCCGCCCAGTTGCCAACAACACACGCGCTTCGGCCCACTGTCCCGCCAATCCACGACCGTCATTCATGCACCGTCTTTGCGGCCCAGTTACCAACGACACCCGTAGTCTGATCAACCACCGCTACCTGCGGCGTCGTTTCAGTGCGTCGCATTTAATTCAGGCCTTGCACACACTTATTCTGCACTACTGCGCGCAACTAGGCTACTTTCTATGTTCATTGCACTCCTATATCCCCTACTGTCGTTTCTTTCTTGTCTCTTGCAATGATATCATCTGGTCCACATCCTGTCAACGCCGGCGAGTCGACAGCCTGCTCACATGGAGCGCTGGCGATCTCGCAGAATATGGGCTAATAGTGGACGACGCCCTTTGGGCCATGATGCGCAAGTCGATTGAGGGTTGGCGAGCGGATAACGGCATGACAACTGTATGATTTGTAGATGTCGTGTATTATTCGAATGTTATGTTGTGTTCGTGCTTTTTTGGATTCCAAGAAGAGAGCTAGGTCGTTGGGTAACTTTGTAAGATTTCAATGTTATTAGCAGCATGGCGCAGTCTGGAAGCGCGCGGGGCCCATAACATGGAGTGAAACCCCGAGGTCACTCGATCGAAACGAGTTGCTGCTATGTGTCTTTTTTTAAATTCCTTTTCAGTCCGGCTGATCCAGGTTGAATTTCGAGCAATGCAGTGGTCGAATCCCACAAAAAAGGATACGTACAGTTTAAAACATTTTTCACGGCGACCCGATAAAAGCCGATGTACGCCGGTGTACGCCCGTGTACGCCAACGTACGTTCAGGGTCCGGGCCGACCGACCGACATAATCAGAAATGTCTTCTTTGCGACATTTCTCGACCGCGTGAACGATTTCAACCGACCGATATACAGTAATCTACACCGCGCCTTCAAGGTCTCCCAGCGTGAACGCCCTCTTCCCTATAATTCAACTTCAGCCCCAAGTCTAAAAGCTGCAACAGCCTGGGTTCGGGGCTCGTACCCGAACGAGTGACGGCTCGGTTCTTTCTCTACCCGTGGTTAACAAACAACCACGCTTCCTTCGCCAGATCGGCTGGGTTCAATTATATATTGATGGGTTTCAACTCTCACACTCGCCCCCGTCCTTGTATAATTAGACAGTCTCTGGGCCTTGAACCTTCCTAACATGACCTGCCGGACTGCGCGCCGTACATGTATCCCACACTCCCCGTAAAACTCTCGTCCCGAGAGCCGCTTCCTTCCTTCCTCAAGAGCCTCAGATGCCGACCCCATCGCAGCACTCCTTCCAGTTCCTTCTTGCTGCACGTACTTGAGCCCAGCACTTACTTGGCGCGTTTGGACGGCAATTTCATACGATCAAGGCGTTCTGGCCGTCGGCGAAACCCCCACTTCAGAGTCATTTGACCACGGAACGTACGTCTGACTGCAAGTATATGTGCCGGCGACCATTTCATTGCAACGATCTTAGCTCACGACACGATATTTCTTGACGTTAGCCGTATTCCAAGATGCGCGATGGTTTGGCTGACAAATGGACGGAGGTTTTACTCTTCGAGCTCTCCCCGGCGGCGAAGGACTGTCCTCTCTTACTAAACCCTCTGAAGTCTATAGTACTGGGCGACTTCGGGACTCGTACCGAGCGCGCGCTGCGACATTCGTCTTTCGCACCTTTCTCTCTTAAGGCTCTCAGCGAACAGACGGCTCATGAATCACTTTCATCCTGCTGGAGTCTTCAAGCCTTTCACACCACCGGGGCCACTCGGCTGAACGAACTATCTATATCGATTTTTTAATCTGCATTCATTTCCAACTTCTGGGTCAAACTTGACATACTTGATGTCCGTCAACCAACCGTCGCTTTGTTCAACACCGTGCAGACATCCATTGATTATTACAGTAATTGAGATTTTTATTCCCGGCGGCGAAGATAAATAAATACCTCCTCAAGCAAGTCTAAAATACTTGCTTCAACCAAAATCCAACACGCTCGGCTTTCGGACCGACATACTCGACTGAATATTAATATTACTTAATGTAGAGAAGCAGCTTTGAGCACGTCCAGTGCTTGCGGTGGGAATTCAAGTGTCTTTTTATGTGGACCGTTCCCCACGTTGTAGAGCGGAAAGATCAGTTTTGTGATTGTGTGTGCCAGTGCCGAGGCATGCCGATGGCCATCAGCAAGTTTACAAGTCACCGCGGCTTTCTCAAATTTTGTTGCGGCTTCATATCGATTTAGACCTTCCTGTCCCTCCACCTTCCTTCTCAGGGGCTAGTGCATGCCGAGCGTCCGAGAACCCACAACGTTATCCCGGCATCATCTTCGAGTTTGTCTGTCCGATTTCAACATCCTTCGAATTCATCTCAACTCAACATCGACCAAGTTACTTACCTTACATCTCAACAGCCTTTCCTTCCCGCCTCACGGCTAGACGGATGGATCTGGAAGCAAGGTACCGATGCGCCTCAAACAACTTCACTGTATTGAAGTTAAATAAGTCTGTAACGAAACTATAAATACTAAGATGTAGATGCATCACGCCGACCGGCTTCCAACCCTCAAACCTACGTCGCGTCTAATGATCCACAAAATTACAGCTTATGACCCTCTTCGGGCATTTTTCCTTTCCTCCCCCGGACGGAACGGCAATGTGGCAAAAGGGCCCTACACACAGTTTGGATTCTAGTTTGACTGATGGCGATACCATATCACTCCCATCGCAGAAATACTCTCGTTAGACACCATAACGCCAGCCAGCCGGCCAGCAAACGAGGGATTCTCACTCCCTCAATTAATTCAAACTCAAACATGGCGGTCCCGCGCGTGGGTAAGAGTCAGTCCAATTATACTGACTATGACTGACGCTCTCAGTAGTCCCGCTGGTACCAAGTGGACAACTTTTTGATTCGAGTCGATTCAGACAACGTTAACGTCAACTCATGGTGGCTTTTTTTTTCGATTTAGATCACTGTTCAACATCCAACCCCAATCCACCGCTCCTGCAAATAATCGACACCCCTGCCCTGATAGGATCTACTACTTACAGCTCGTAGGCAGTTAAATTTGGCCCAACAGCAACAGGCTTTCCTGGGCCTGACAATGGCATCTCCCGTATCCGTCTCCCGCGACAGCACTGCATACGCCATAACCGGATCATCAACGGACTTGTAATCCCCGCTTCCGTCCCTCCGTCTTCCGTCTTCGTCTTCCGTCTTCCGTGCCGCATCGCGCGTCTTCTGTTTTCCCGTACGTCCCCCACCGGGGTTTCCCTCACTGATTTAGACTGCATCGCGACATTGAAGGGAATCTCCGATCGATAAGTCCACTCTCCACACCCCGCTCGGACTGCTGCGCCCTTTCTCTCCGCCTGCCTGCTTCCTAGGGCCGATCAGGCTAATTCCCTCTCAAGTCCAGCCCAATTGATCAAAGCGCACACACGACTGCCTAAATCCTTAACAAGAACCCATGCCATTATCGCACTTAAGCAGTAGCTCCGCGGCCCTCCCAGGAACACAACGCTTGCTTTGGACACTTCCATGCTAGGATCCTTCTAAGTGCACCAAGCTTCTTCACGCATGTCAGTGTGCTTCCCCCGGCCAATATAGCGTAATTGCTTCACCGCACAGCTAATTGTTTGCGCTCCAGGGGGTGAGTGCACCCGATTTTATAGCCTTATATAGCAAGTTGCCTGCTATGTTAGACCACGGCGTATCGGTAACTCGGGATTCACCTTGGATAAATATCTGATGCCTTCTGCGGCCGCTGTAGATCTCTGGGATGGAGGCCGATTTTCCGTGTTATGTACGCGTACGTAGGCCCTCGGAGTGCATCCGGTTGAAAGTACATCGTACTTACTAAGTTGATTTTTTACCCCCAGGCCGGACGGCGCTCGGGGAGGGATCCACGTCCCAATTTAAATATGAAACAAAGTTGAACGGCGAAGACGTTCCACATAAAATAATCGGCATCGCGGTGTCTTGAATCGGTTCGAGTCTGTCCGCTGTCTCGCAAGCTCCTTTACTTCCAACCTTACTCAACTTACTACAACGAAAAAAAAAAATCGTAACTTACTAAGTAACCTTGTCTCGCGCGCGGCGATATTCTAATAGCCGGCGCACAAGCTTAGACGCCGTCGTGTGGTAACTCGAGGACTTGGGTAGATTTAAGTAGGTAAGTACGAGTAGAAGTGTTAATATAGCAGGCAGCACTTGATTAAATGCTAACGCAGAGGCAAAGGTAAAATAAGCTTGGTTGGGCTGGGTTCAAATAGGCGGTCGGTCAATCTATCTTTGTATAATTAACTCAAGGATGCGCAAGTAAGCACTCAATCGAATGACTGAATGAATCAGGATGGATGGCCTGCCAGTGCGTCATCAAAATCTTAAACGAAGTCTCGAATGCGCCGTTCAACCGACAAGATCCAGCCTCGACGGACACGGTTCGAATCCACTTGGTTACCTCAAGGTCCACTGCCCCGAGTCAAAACGGTCGGAAGTCGCCGACGGCGGGAGGTCAGTCGGTGGCCAACCAGAGCCGTTGGGTATCCATCTTACCTCCGAGCCTCGCTCGCTTCAGGTTGCAGGTTGAAAAAATAAAATCCGCCCAAAGTCTGTTCCGAAGAAGAAGGAGAAAAAAAGCATCGTGATTCCGGCACCCGGCCTCTCCATTCCTACTCTCTCCCACTTCAGCCACTGTTCCCAGCTTGCAAGCGGAGTCCAAATCGGGTGTTCGATCATGATCAGCGTCCATCAAAGCATCATCTGCACACCGATCGAAAATCTCGTCATCCATCTCGATCGCAGCGCGTGTGCCTGATTAGGATTCCATGCCGTAATGATATGAGAGAGAGAAAAATCTCATCGGTGTGTGATTCTCTGTGATTTTTCCTGCGGACGACAGCATGGACGTGGTTGACGATTCTCAGACTAGGGAAGGCATTTGTGAGACTCAAGCCACAAAGGGTCCGAAAGAACTTGAAAGCCTAAACGAGGTTACAGCGGCCGGGCTGCGCAATTCACTAGGCCGTGGTTATGGCATGGCGAATAAGGCCGGAGCGTGGGCATTAACCCCGTAATCAAAACGCAATTCGGAATCGTGGGCCATCGATGGGCGAAAGTTTAATTTGAATTGAAGGGTTGAATAACAATAGGTGGATGGGTGGGAATGTACAGCATCGTATGGATTCAAAGAAATAAGCTACTTGGTGCGATATTAGGTAGTCGTGCATCTTATGCGTATTGGTACGGGGTGTATGTGGTATCATTATGGCTGTAAATGGTATGTATGGTTGATGGTAGGGACCAAGAAATGCACTGTCGCGTTCGCGTCAGTGCTATTTCCACAAGGAAAGGAAAGGACGACGCACCAAGATAATCTCGCCCGCAGGGGTCGGAGAAGGCAAAGAATAGCAATAACACCGAGCGCGAGCCCGCCAAAAAATATCGAATAGCAAGGACAGTAAACTGGGGCTAGTTGCGTACAACGATGCGCCGCGTGTGCTTCCCCGCGCGTCGACGCTCGTTGTATGGCATTGGGCGCCGCCACGCCTCGTCAGGGTCGTCTGGCCGATAGTCGCCGTCCGTGTCGCGGTCGTCCGGGGCGGGCGTGCGCCGTCCTACGGACGAAGGCGGCG